GGAGGAGTCCTTTTGCAGGACACAATCGTTCGTAATAATCTGGAGAACTCCTTGTCTGGTCTGCCTTGTGTTCCCGTGTCTGAGGGGGCCTGGGTTGCTGCCAATGTCTTGCCAGTGAGTCGTGTCTGGACTATAATTGCTGTGAATAAAGAGTGGCAAACAGCTAAGCCTGTGTCTGCTTTCATTACCGGACGGAGGGGGGCCAGAACAGCTTGTCAGAACTGAGTCAGATGCTTTGTGGACAGTTGCAGGAATCAATTCAACTCAATCGATCAATTGTGAGTCAATTATTGATTATCTATTATGACCTAGCTCAACAGGCACATACATGTTGAACAGAAGATGAAGGCATGCCATAGTCATTTATGTGACATATGGTCCCAAAGAAATGTGTGACTTGGGGTTCCTTCTAGACTTGGGGCTTTGGCCAAAGAGTAGAAAGATGCTTGGATGGGCCTTTGACCAACATTGACTGGTACACTAATTGTAGCCCTATCTAATCCAAGATGCATTGGCAACAGTAATGATCACCACCACAGATTTGGTGTCCTATATGCTCTCTTTGGAGTTGTCTTTGGAGACAATCTGGAAGCTCCAATTAGCCCAGAATACAAAGGGCCCAGACTGCTGACTCCAGCATGAGAGTTTCTTCATACTTGTATATTCTTGTTAAATTGTATATTATTTATTACATTATTATTTGTATATTTTTTGGTTGCAGAATGCTACCAGTCATTAGATTGAGTCAGTTAACAAATAAATATGTTGTAACATAATGTAATGTAACAAAATGTAATGTAACATAATTTTTCTTTAGCCTCAGACATTTTCAAATTTACCAACCTTTGCTATATGCAGAGGAATGTTCCTTCCGATTCAGTTTAAGAAATAATTTCCTCTTAGAATCACAGTCAAAGCTAGCCTTTGCAATATTACATGTCTTCATCTTACCAAATTGTTTTCTTTGGGTATCAAACATTTTCCTAGAAAAATGAAATATAAGAACACTGTAATTGATATTATTGCTTTTATAAGCGAATACTAAAAATAGATTTTCATGAAATAAAAAATAAATAAAACTGGGGACACAAGATTTAATATTACTCAAAATAATGAATAAACGCTTCATTAGTATCAATATTAATATCAGTAACAGATATTGATTGAAAGTGCTAAATCTGGCAAGTGGGATAAAATGACCAAAGAATTGCTTAGTCTGCTTGAAATTAATTCATAATACTGAGTTCATTATTACTATTTTTGACTTTTTAATTACCTTTTTAGTAATTCTTTCTAAAGGAGACTTAAGTAAATTAGACATTATCATCATTATTAATTAGCATCACTTCCTTTCAGTTATAAACTACTATTGAACTATATCTAACATTTCAGCATACCTTACTAGAAGTTGGCATTCTTCATAGATAGAAATTCTTTGACATCTGAGGTAAGTTCCAATACTCTTTATATCATGAAGTATAATACTAGGTTTACTCTCCATCTGTACAGGTTTTACATCTTCAAGCCACTTAAAAAAATTACATCGATCTGCTTTAGCTGCGTCACAAGAATAGAACAGACGACCCTGGAGCAAAATAAAAGCCATACAATAAATCAGTCTATGTTAGTGCGTGCTCCAATTGTGTGCATATAAATCTGATGAACAGATAACCTGACTAATTTTCAAGAGAGAGAAAGGGGGGATAGAGACAGGAATAGAGACAGAGAGAGAGAGAGAGAGAGAGAGAGAGAGAGAGCGCTTAACTTTATTGGCTAAGTGACTTTGTGTAACAAATCTCTAGGAAGATGCTGATTCAGTTAACCTGGTTTTGAGTTATATGGCTTTTTGGTCACAGTATAAAGTTGTAACTAAGTATAATATCAGATTATTGAGCTGATACATTGTATTTATTAAAAGAAACTTATTCCCCCTCCCCACCTGCTAAATTTATTTAGTGACTACCTTCTGTTCATACTATTTTTCTATTAAAGAAAGAAATGCCAGGTTTTAAAAAATGATATTCACTGAGAAAATTGCACAGGGACAAAACCTCCCAACAGTCATTATTATCCTTAAAAAAACAAAGCTCATACATAGGAATCCTATCCCTGGCCATTCATTATCATAAATCGGTCCTGTTGAAAGGAAAACCATTCCCCTTTCCCTAGTGTACACAGACCTGAACTTTTTCAGTGGCTTACCACTTAAAATACTCAAAATATTTTTTCATAGTTATTAATTTCCATATTTTTCAGCTACTGTAAATATTCTGACAAAATGTATAATAAATTATTTTAGTCCCCAAACACAAGCCAAATTTTCAATTTCACAAAAATATGTACATCTATGCAATTCATGTGCATGCGGCATTCATATCTATCCTAGTAAAACCATGGTTTAAAAAAATTCCAATAATGTGTTTTAACTAGCCTCTAACAACATACCTTATTTCGGCCTTCTTTTCTAACCATAACAAGCTTTGCTGCTATTTTGTGGCTGCAGAGAGGCGCAGTATTCTCTTGTTGCCCTTCTTTCACCGATGAATAGAAAGATATGTCTACTTTCCCAAGAGCTTTATGTAGGTTTTTTGATAGTTCAAATAATAATATGTTTAAATGTTCTTTTCATAAAAATAGGAAATATGAGATGTTTTGCAATTAGTGGGAAAACATGCATGTTAAAATATGTCATTTCATATCAAGTAATATTGAATTGCTTGAGTCACCTTGTCTACTTTTCCAGTTTAATAATGACTCCAGGGAAGGGAAAAAACTAAATAAAAAACTTTGAAACTAAGAATTTCTTAGTCTCAATGTCATTCATAGAAAAAAAAGAAATAATCTGTCAAGCATTTTAGTGCTAAACATGGGCTACCATACATGACTCCTATGATGTCAACGAAAGGAAATGAAAGGTACTAATTGACTTTGGAAGTAAGAAACAGGGAGAGAATTAGTATGCAATTTTTCTTTTTCAAACTATAATAACTTTGCATAAGGCAGAAAGGCAAATGACTACTGGTTCTATAAAATTTGACTTTTTGAGAAGTATAATCAAAAATCTTGATTGCAATGCATTTTTAGAACCATTTACGAATTTTGAGTACCAGTATTAAAATGAAAAGTTGGAGCATACCTATCAATGCAGTAATAAAAACATTCTTATAATGTGCTGGAGACTGAAATTCAACTGGGATGTGTTGTTGTCGTTTAGGTACATTAGTATTCTTTACCATATCTGCCCTAGGGAAATACAGTTCAGAAGTGTCCTATAAAACAAAATAAGTAAATTCCTATTTTCATTTTTCTGATCTCATATGCAGTAATTGCCTATATTTAAGACCACTGAATATAACATTTGTTAAGGCTATGTCTATTCTTCCAGTTTTTATGACCACATATCTTACCTGAGTCTTTTAAAATACATCTATTTGAGTGCTAAATTTTAATCTTAGAAAATATGGAAATATTCTGTCTCCAGAATGTATACTGTAATGTATAATTTTAGAACTTGACTTTATAGAGTTCTATAAAAATCACCTCAAGAACTTAAAACAGTGACTGAAGATACAGGCTTGTTCTGAGGTTTGCAACTATAGTGCCCAGGTTTAGTCTAATTAAGAGTTTATGGTTGATTAGATTCCTTGTGTTAGCACAGTTTGCAGCAAAAGGAGAGTCATGGTTTCATGAATGAACTGTACATATCTTAATTTGATAAACTATGATTATGAGATTATCAAACTTAAATATTTTGAAACCTATTAACACAGTATTCCTGAAAACCTTATTAAAAACCTTGTTAAAAATTGTAAGAGAAAACATTAGGCAAACACAACAAAATTAATCTGCATGTACACATGATGGACAATATTTAGCAGCATTTCTTAACATTGGGAACAATGACATACCTTGCTATCACTGGTAATATTTGGGAAATTCAGGTGACCTAACTCACTTAGAATTTCTGCAGTGCAAAAGTGTTGATTTAAGTGCAGGGAAAGTTTCTTTCTTTCTGAAACAGAATCTTGACTGATAAAGTTTTGCCGCTGTTTACAAAGCATGCTTTTTATTGTCTCCAGATGCTCAGAGTCCAGAGAGCTTTTATGGATGACATTACCCTGATTCTCTCTTCTGTATTCTAATGACATTCCTAAAAAACTCTCAGCTTTGATATCAGAAGCCATGGCCACTTTGTTGCTATTTTGAGATCTCAAATCACAACCAGTTGTGTTGTGGTATTTCTCCCATTTGCTTTGTTCCTTTTGTTCAGATACATTAGGCAATGCACTCGGTATGGCTATCTTGTCTCTTACTCCTATGTACTTTTCACTCACAAAGGTTTTACACATCCTGTCCTCAGGGTCTAACATTTCTGATTTGTCATATGTATTGACTACCGAGAAACCACAATGATGATGAATCTGTTTACAGATTTTTGCACTGGAATAAAGTTGGAAATCAGAAACTGGATTATATACAAGTCCAGGAACAACTGGGGTTTGTGTTCCAAGAGTAGGTAAGAGGATAGACATATCATTTTCTGGATACACGGAGTCTCCCATTCCTATAAAACAGGGTACAGTATGCAGACACTTGTAAACAAAATTCTATTGATAATATAGGAAAGCATTAATATTAGTATTTTTTGGGGGGAAATGAACTGCCTTTCACTAAATAATTTCAGTAGCAAAAACTTCAACAGCAGTCATTACTAATATAGCACAATGTACTTCTTACTGGAAGGTTACAATAAAACTACGCTAATGATTTTGTTAAAGAAAATGATCTTATAATTTTGGTTATATTGTATATACGTGAAAATTCAGAACTGCTATATTCTTCAAAACTAATACAGTTAAAACTTTAAAGTACAGGATAAATTTTCATAAGAATAAATAATAAGAGTGTGTCTTTCTGTTATTTGAAAATCAAATTTAGTTCCTAGTTATTTTTATTAATCTAGCTCTACCTCTAAACAAGATCAATTAGATTATAAATTGGAAAGACATCAAAACATTTTGCAATATGTCTCCATTTCTTAATATTGATTTTTTATAGCTATTTCATAAATAGAAAATAACAGGGATGTGATAGGTAGAGACTGAATAAATTTATTTTGTTCATGGATTTAAAAAAAACCTCATAAATGAAAAGTTGCACTCACAGAGATTAGGAGACCCCCATCAAATAGGCAGGAATGGAGGAAATTTCAGCAACATTTTAAAAAATATGAATTACTTACATTTTGTTAGTGATCAAACTAGATTAAGAATGCTCAAACACTAACAAGCATTCCAAAATCTGGCACAGCTGTTATTTATAACATCAACAATCAAATCTTTCTTACTGAAAAAGATTTTTTTATTATCCATATACAAGTCTGGATGAGTTTTGGATATCAGCAATTCCTGCTCTTCTATTGTTTCTTTACTATTTAGAGTTGGGAAAAAGTGACAGCCAGGAGTCTGTGAAGAAACCCATTGTTTTGATAACAGCTGAACAGAAGGAATGTAAAAAGCAGAAATATATAGTTACAAATAGATACAAATATCTACATCTATAAGCATTTATTCCCAAATTTTACAGAAAACAAGGAACTCAACTTTAATATTCACTTAGTAACTAAATAAATTCTAATTCAAAATTAGTAACAGATGTACATAACAGTGTTCTTGATTACTACTCTCCCCCTCTCTCTATGTATCTATGTGTATGTATATATGTCCATGTATCTGTGTGTGTGTGTGTGTGTAGATACATACATATATTCCTTTTCTAGAGAAAGAAAAAAAAGGAAGAAAAAGATACTTTTGAAGTATATTATGTTATTCAAAAAAATGAGAGGAAAAACATTTTAACATTCATGAGTATATGATCCTAATGGGATAATGTCTTGGCAGTATCTAGAATTAAAGCAGCTATGTGGTAGTAAATGTTTTTGTTCATTAAAGTAATGATAAAACAAAATGAGCCCACCCAGTCATTACCTTATTAAATTCCCCCGAAATAGACTCTGTGAAGTCCAGATTTGAGGAAGAATTTGTCACAATCTGATTTGGAGGTTTAAAAGATGTAGTCTTTGTTACTATTAAGAGGAAGAAACATACACAATGTTGAAGAGTAATGCTACATTTTGGTCATTAATTGTTCATATTGATAGCCACTTACAAAATTTATTACTGCTTTTTTCTTCAAAAACATTGAATTCATTTCTAAATGTTTTGGTTTCGCTGTTACTGAGATCATCTTCTGAACCTAGAGGCTAAGGATAAATACCCCCCACCCCAATAAACACATTTAATGCATTCCAGGGTAACATTGTTTTTTGGATTAGTTCTAGGCATTAATTGCTGTATATTAGCTTGGCAAAAAATTAATAAGAGAAAACAAGGGCACTAAACAGGAGTCTCAGTAATACTTCTTAAAAATTTGGGTAGCATAAAATATTTATAAAGATCTCCCCCCCCCCACCCCGAGAGGGATTAAACTATCTGATCCTTATAAGCAATATCCTATCTTATGAATTTGTTGATAGTCATAATTATTCCTTTTATATACAGCAGTATTTTAAGCTCTTATAACATGACTTTTTCAGAGTATGTTCATAGATTTAAAAATGTGTACATTAAAAAATCTTACCTTAACAAACTCAGGTACCTCAGGACAGTTCAGTTCTTGCACTAAAAAAAAGGATGCATCTTTTGAAGCACTTTCAGATTTGGTGATGTCACTTTGTGGATCCTTTCTGTGATACGAACAGCGTTCTCTTGTCATCATCTCACTAGCTGCTGAGCCTTTCACCTGGTATCCGTGAAATTCAACTACCTTCATGCATTTAATGGAACAAATATTGTAAAGGAATGCTATTCATTGACCAAAAAAAGAAGCTATAAGCACAATTAAACTTCAGAATGTGGGTATATTTTATGTATCTTTACTAATCCTTATACCTTTTATAGAACGAGACACTGAATT